GACATGCAATAATTGAATAATTAAAATTACAAAATTACAGTAACGTTTCATATCAAAATTTAATAAAGCAATATAATGTCAATAAATTTATGTAAAAAGAGAAAAAAATATACAGGCATGGTCATGTCATAATGCATAATGTCAAACTAGTATAATGTCAATCTTACAAATTCTAATTAATTTGTCAATTTAAAATTTCAAATAACAACAATTCGCTTGAGGTGACCGTCACGGCAGAATTTTATAAATTCATTTACGTCATAAAAACAGTTTTCAATGAGAGTCCCGAAAATAACTTTTTTTAAACTGATTAAATGTCAAGTTTTGAATATGGTTTGGAAGTAAATTAAATAATCGAACGCACATGCTATAACTATTTCTAGTAAAACAAGTTGTGGCTGCCTGTGGTACAGATAACTTCCACGGGTACCTTCTCATACCACCACAATTATATGATCTTCGTTTTGTCCATGTTCATCTTAAGACATATCCGTTGGGAGGCACTATTGAGGTTTATGAGCATAGTGCTTAGGTCCTCCAATGATTCTGCCATAAGGACTATATCGTCGGCAAATCCAAGGTGAGTGATATACTCGCCATTGATATTAATACCGTATCCTTTCCAGTCCAGTACCTTGAAAACGTCTTCCAATGCAGCAGTGAAGAGTTCCGGGGATATAACGTCACCCTGTCTTACAACTCTTTGCAGTTGGATAGGTTTCGTACTCTGGTTCTGTACTCGGATAGCCATCGTAGCCCTACTGTACAAACACTACAGCAATTCGATATATCGACAGCCAACTTTGCACCGCTGAAGGGACTGCAGCACCGCCCAAATTTCGATGGAATCAAACGTTTTCTCATAGTCCACATACGCCAGGCATAGTGGCAAATTGTACTCCTCGGACTTCTGTACCATTTTCCGAAGGGTATGTATGTGGTCTAAAAATAATTGCAAAGTAGCTTCTGAAAATACTTAAATTTTCAACTTTCTCAGATTTGCATAAAATAATGTTTAGTACAATAAGTACAATTATGCTCTTATTAATATTAATAAGAGCTATATTGATTATATAAAGAAACGTTTTTTCTGTCAATCCTATTGAATTTGACAGTGCTCGCTGAAATTTAGCGTTTTGTAATTCAATTGTTTACAGTTATTATCACATCTTAGTTTACATTAAAAACAATATATAGTTTAAGGTTTTAATGTTTATCATTGCTTTTTGCTTAAATTCAGTTATTATCGGTTCAGAATACTTCAATTTCGTTTGTAGGCATTTCCTCGCAATTGTGCATGTAGATTTATGTGAGATGTTGACTATGTACGAGATATTATTATAAATTATATAATATATATATATTGACTATAAATGAATTCATTATTTTAAAAGTTTATGCAAGATGTGTGACCAGAATCGAAAGTAAGTATGGGGCAAACAAAAAAGCAAAAAATGATCTTATCAATAATATTGTGGTAATTCTGTAAGCATTTTGAATTTATTTATCATCATTTGTAGGGATTATTACTATATTGACTCGAATTTAATCTGTTTCAGATCATCAAGTATTTGAGCGGAGTTAAGTTTTTATGAAAGTTTGCAGATTTAAATTTAAATTAATGTTCTGTGAAGAATAACTTTCACGATAACATATGTTATATATCAATATTACGCGTGGAAATGTTATCTACAAATGCAATAAAAAACATCATCGTAATTAATGATGTTTTTATTGCATTTGTAGATAATATAAATTTTAAGTAATTAAAGTTGCATTGTACGTTTGGTTTGTTATTGTTGAAAATGTTATTTTTATTTAAGAATATTTTATTTAAGAAATACATACAACAAGGGTTATTCTGTCTGTCTGTCTGTTTGTTCCGTTTAATCTTCGAAACGGCTAGACCGATTTCGACGGGACTTTCACTGGCAGATAGCTGATGTTACAGGGAATAACTCAGGGTACTTATATTTTACAAAAAGTTTTAGGGTTCCGCGCAACATAATTAAAACCCTTAATTATACGTGAGCGAAGTCGCGGGGAACAGCTAATATATGACTAAAAATAAATATACGCTTGCTTTGTATAGGCGCCATATTTCATCGAAATACGCGTTGAACAATTTGAACACCTATGACCGTTGATGTTAGAGGGAGTAAATAAGACGCGAGAACGAGGAATTTATTTTTATTGTATCGATATATTGGTATCAGTATCCATACCGATATTCTGATTCCAAGTATCAATATTATTGTACTGAAATCAAATATTGATAAATCGATACCTAAATATCCGTATTGATATCGATACTTGCAAAATATCGGTAATACAGTCCCTGGTGGCCGTTTCTCTCCATGATGAAATTTGTTAAGGGTCAACCCTTAGTTGACTAAAAACCGGTGTATCACATACGAGGAGATCCGAGTTCGAGGACGTTTGGTAGACAAGTCACGATCAAAAAGATTACGTTAACATTTGAAAGTTAGAAAACATGGTAGCCACTGGATATCTCATGAACTCACCCCAGAACAAAAACGGGCGCCAGTTGATTGGTGTAAAAAAAAGACAAAATACCATCCACACCATCTGCATGCTTAGTGTTCCACCGACGCGCATTTTTCCAGACGTTTTCCTCTTCGCAAAACGAACTTGTGAAATCTACTAACACCAGAGATTTTTCAGACCTATATAGCTTAGGGACCTTCAAAAACAGAGCCTACTTCTGTCTAATAAGACGACAACGTCCTTACGATTCTCTGGAGTTGCAGCTGTTATCGGCGGCGGTAGTTACTTATGAACAAGTGCGTTGCATCCTCGTTTGCCCTTCTATAAATATATGCCAGTACGAGGGTATCAATTCTTAATCTCATTAATCTAATAAATTCTTGCCTACTTGCACAAATTACATTAACATTACATACACATTCAAAAGGTAAGTCTTACATACAAAGGTATTATTTGTCACCATAAAGGAGCTATGATAGCTCAAGGGTGGACGCGCGCGTTTAATTTTACAGCGCGTAAGCAAATACGACTAAACCACACACGATTACAAGAGGATTGGAAACACACTGATAGGAGAGGGTTTTTACTTTTTATATAAGTATTGCATAAACTAAAAATAAATTTGAGCCAAGAGCCTACAAGTTGAATTAATACAGTGTATTGCACAGTAAAACTACATTACATTCGTTTTATTCATTTTAATAATATAAGTCTAATTAAAACTAGGCCTTAAAACAACAAATATTTACAATCGGTGATCTGGGACAAAAAAATATATAACTAGCATAAAAACAATACACGAGTCACACAAACAATCTGGAATAATTGTCAACGTTTAATTCCAACAGGATAATAATAGCATTAAACATACTTACCTTTATGTGAGAAGAAAATATATCACAATATTTATATTATCAGTAAACAAACTAAGTAGATAAAATATAATGTTCCACTACACATTTTGTTCTATTCTTCTTTCATGATCAGCATTCATTTTAAAAGTTATATTTAACCAAGGTTATCCAGTGTGATATAATATGAAGAACACTGAATGACTTTAATCAATGTAGGCATTGATACTAAATAATTCCATTCTGTAAATACATTCAACTACATTATAACAGTTTACATATGACAATAATTTTACTCAAATTAGAAACACTACAAAGTAATTCATAGCTATAGTTGAATACAATGTGGAAAAATATATATGAATTTTTGCAACAGTAGAAAGAATGTATTTAAGATAATTACAGTATCTGTATATAAATATAGATTGCCTATAAATCTGCTAAGTAACTACAATTAAGCTAAGAGATTTAAGGCTAAAAATTAAATAAACACACTAAAAAAAATGAAATGTTTACTAATACAACAAAATATGAGTTTTGAAATATGTAAGTTTCACAGAATAAAAAGAAATCATAACCATACCAAATATATAAAATTCTAAACAGTATTAATATCAATTGGACTTATCATAATTGTTGCACAAAATTCAGTCTTATTCCACATTGATCAAAATTGAGGAGTCATAAATATTTTTGGTACATTTCATTTAATTTACGTCACAAAAGCAATTTACAAAGCATTTTTATAATGTTTGTCATTATACATCCACGCCCAAACTGAAATGTACCAGTTAAAATGGTACAGTAAATTAAACCATTATTTCTCAATGCTAGGTTATTGTAACAACAATATAATATCTATTCTATCTTAACTGTATGATCCGTATACTCCCCTAGTTGAGTAGGACAAAGATGTTTAAAAGTATGAAAATATTTGTATACATAGCTATTTTGAATGTCTATTACCTAGTTCAAATCGTAGTTGTCAAACACAACAAATTAGAGAAGGTCTATAGTCACAATCAATGTAAAGTGACTTACACTTAAAAACATATAAGTAGTAACTAATTATTGCAAATCCTGCAGAGATAAAGGCCACTTTAATTGTTCCTAGTAAACTTTAAAGCTACAAACAAAAAACAGGTCTAGCTTGCAGTGAAATCCAATAAACATAAAAAAACCAAGTTTTCATTTTGCAATACTTGACTAGAAAACAATAGTGTAAGCAAACACAGTTATTTGTCACAACAAAATAAATTGCTTATGTCACAAATTGTCAAATACTGTATCCAGTTTATCACACACACTGTTCATTTTATCATGTCGGTGAACCATGAACTTCTTAATGCCAATCAAACAATCTAAATCCGACCATCAATTTACCCCTAAATATACAATGGCGTAGCTAGAACTACACTCACACTCATTCTGCAGAAATACCCATATCATTAATGTTCAAAGATTCATATGCAAGATATAAAATCACTTACTGTTTTTGTCATCTATCCAATTAGATAGTCTTGACAAGTACCAATAATACCATCCTAGCTACGCCAATATATTTTCACTTTCACTTTAAAGTCAGCACCAACGGCGTTTCTTACTAATCCACTCACAGCGTTCACCGGCGCGAAGCAACATCTATTTGTCTGTTGCCTGTACGTGATCTGGTCGTTCGCCTCGGGAGTATCGCGCCCACATTCTTGAATACAACATCTCAAGACCCGTCGCATATGCCTTGCAGTCAAAGAGAGGACTCTCTGTTCGTGCAGTCCACACTTTGGCACGGATCGCTTTCAAACTGTAAAAAAATTGTGGGTAAATAAGTTAATTGTGATTTGGATTTCCTTATTTCAAAAGTTATGAGGAACATTAAACACCTTTACTTTTTTTAGAATATTTCCAATGTTATTTTATTAGGATTCCAAAAAAATTAAATTTACCAATAATGCTAATGCCAGACCAGTAAACTCCAATTCCAAAAAAGAAAATATAATTATTTATTTACAAAAAAAAAAACATTTCTTTTCTATTTCCATTAATTGAAATTGAATTATAAGAAAATATATAACAAGTGATAAATTTAAAATGTTGTACAGACAACTTCAATATGAATATAATTTATTGTTGATTTCTTAAAAGGCCCTTGAGCGATTTCGATAAAATTTAAATGGGATCGCCTGGGAAGTATATACACTGAAACAAAAAAGAATTTTCCAAATCGGTTTACAATAGTCAGTAATCGGTGATAATACATTAAAAAAAAATCCGACGAATTGAGAAGCTCCTCCTTTTTGAAAACAATAATAAAAATATTAAACACTTACTATTCCTTGTCAGTTCCCAGTCTTACAGCTATGTCTTGGTACTCTTGCCTTGTTCTTGCAATGAGCTCAGGGCAACCAAGTGTGTTCAGCTGGGAAGCTGCCACTCTGTTAAAATTAAATGTTGTAAATGCAATTATTATTATTTCATGATGAAATATTATCATAACTAAAATATATGATTTTAGACAAATAGTTTCGTATCGATAAACCAAAATAGACAAACCAACTTCAAAATAAACATAAAAATATATGTGATGGTATATCAAAAAGCAATTGCAATGTGACATTCTATTCCAGAATGTACTTAGGGAGTAGAATTTGCATAAGGAAATGTGTTTATTTGGACAGTATTGATGCAAAGGAGAATGAATGATAGATACGCTTTCATACATTCTTGGGCCCAGATTGTAAAAAGATGAATGTCGTGTCAATTAATAGCTTATATATTATCAAAACATCACTGGAAATTCTGTGGACTTTGGCAATCTGAGAGCAGAGTTATAAGAGATTTAGTAAAAGTGAGGTTATGCAACAAGTTGGCAACAACCTATACTAAACAGCTGATTTTTGAAGAGCGATTGCTATTTTGGAAGGATCGTGGGCCTAGTGTATTACAGTGACTAGTCACTATGCCACAATTCACACAGTGATCCATTGAGTCAATATCTAATCGATAAAATCTAGGCTGTAAAATCCACAATAATGAGCCAAAGTCAAATGAGTAAACAAGATTATCGGTATTCGGTATGATAGCAGGAGTAGTACAAGTTAAGTAGAGAAAGCAGTGGTCGAGGAATACAAATCAATAAAACAATGGGAAACACACTCAAAACGCACACATTCTAAACAATACGCGATATATACAGTAATTTATAGATAAGAGATGAGTGATCATAGATTGAGTCAGGCAGGATCTGTCACTATTAGCAAAGATTAAAAATAAAGTTGACAAACAAAAATAATAAATTGAACAGTAAAGGTGAATCGATTTTAAGATTTATTTTTATTATGTTGATATTTTATTTTTTAAACTGTTGACACTATGTTAATATATTGTGATGTATCTATCTATTTACCTCGCAATAATATATTATCAATCATCCGGTGTAAGTTGTTTTTATGTTTAATTGTTAAAACTCATTCGCATTAATTGATTAAAGTAATAATTGATTTATTTTATTAGTGACATAAACTTATTTTTAATATTTCTCATCTTCCAGATTGTGAATTTGGTAAATTTTTTTATATTTTAAAATAGAAAAATATAACGTTTTTTTTACCATATTTCAACTTATTACAATCAGGCCCAGAAATCCCCATCTCCTTTGATGAGAATCATGTCACCGAAGTCAATTTCGTGTGTACTATGCCCATAAAAACTATTATTGCCCATTATTATTTTCGTAAATAAAAGATAAATAAATAATTTATTGGTGAAATTTTTGCTAGATTAAGACATGAAAATCGGCCCAACGACTACCTAACTAATCAAGCGCGCCTACAGATTATGGAACACAACTATCTAAAAATAACTTTGAATTATGTTCCGAATTATGGTGGCAAGGGCTCTCTGAAATAGATTTCTAAAAACTGATTGTGAAATTAATTACAAAATCTAAAATCAAACATTAAGCATTTGCGTATAAATCCGAAAACACAAGCCTAATTGTAACCATATAAGAAAATATATAAGATATTATTACAATAATTACTGCCTCTCAATAGCTGAACCTAGGTCTCCCCATAGACTTCCTCTTAGGGTTGGCGCTATTGCAGTTTTTATTATTTTCAGTTGTTAATAGAAAGATGCTGCGTATCTACTGTTTCATTTCTTTCTGCCGCCTCTTACAACACACACCCACGGGATGACGTGGGATAGTGGATTCCCTTACGCCGCCACAATACGGCGTATAAAAATTAGATAAGTTTATGAAATATACTGCAATTTAATTATATTTTCGATTAAAATATTTCTTTTAATAAATTCGTTACCTGGACGCCAATGTTTCCCCTGGCAATGTGACGACAGGCGTGCCAGTCCACAAAATGTCCATGCTAGTTGTATGTCCGTTACAAAGCGGTGTATCTAGACAAACATCCGCTAATTGACCACGACGTACATGTTCTTCCTTAGCAGCCACATTAGAAAAGATTATACGACCAGGAGGAAGACCTGCAATGAGATACACAGAAATGTGTCAAAGTTAAAATAAGTAATTTTGTACATACAAAGGGAGGTCTAAAAGTTCGCGGAATGACAGGGAAGGATAATGAAATGAAATATTAAACTATTTTTCCTTTTCAATGTATTCTCCCTTAACCCTAATACATTTATTACATCTGTCAAATAACTTATTAATACCGTGTAAAAAAAATTTGTCTTGGGCGTCAAAATAGGCCAAAATTCCCAACTTCACTTCATTTTTGGAAACAAATTGATTGATTGACTTGTTCGGGTCATTAGCTTTTGAGTTACCATCGAGTAATAACTCAAAAGCTAATGGCCCGATTAGGCTGAAACTTGGTATATATACTAAAAATGAGTCACTCAACTAGCGCCTACCTGGATGAGTAAACTCACCCTCGCCAACCCTGCCATTCCGCGAAATTTTTGACCACCCCTTGTAATATTTATAGTATACAAACATTATATCAGTAAAAATTGTTTCTCTTTTTTACAAAAGCAAGGGTGGGAACAAATAGACTCCGCGCCCCATTGAAAACTAGAATTAACTGCAATTCCTAGGAACTGACCTAGAATTGCCCCAATACATATTGATGTATGGGGGCAATTCTAGGTATAGACAGCATAAATTAAATGCATTTTGTTTTTTGCTGTATTTAGATTTAAATTATTAACAACAAGCCAAGAACCTTCATTAGCCTCAGATTAATCTTACTGTCATCACTTTACTATACTAATGTTAAAGACTCGCTGCCCGCGGTGCAATAAAATGAAGAAACAGGACGCCGCCTGTTGCGTTCTCTGTCGCACGACAGGCCGCCTGCCATTCAGCCTGTTTCCTCATTTTATTGCACCGCGGGCAACGAGTCTTTAACATTAGTACTATAAGAATAAATATGGGCCAAGGATCAACCCCTGAGAAAAATTTAAGGCGACTCGTGCTAAAATAAAGATATTGACATAATACAAATAACAGTTCTAAAAATATAAACAAATTTTGTCACATAATACAAAATTGAGATCATTATTATATTATCCAGACCTTCGAACTTATTTTATCTTTGTACAATCAAATTAATAGTTATGTACGTGGTAGAGCCATGCTGCAGCTATATTAGTAGTGTAGTTGTAGCACGAATGGGTTGGCTCGACCGGGGAAGGACCACGCTCTCACAAAATACCAGCTTAACACTGCTGTGTTTCGTATGGTGAGTGTAGAGAACCGGAGACCCTTTTTACTGGATAAGAGGCATTCCATCTTAGTCTTCACGAGTGACAACGCATCTGCATTTTGATTCGCAAACGAGGATAGATGTAGATGTCTACGGGCCACAGCAACCACTTACCATCAGGTGGACTGTGTGCTCGTTTGTCATTCGATTCTATAAAAAATTTACTATTTTGTGGTATATTAATAATTAGATATTTATTTTATGAAAATAACCATTTAATCAAGCGTAACTTTATAAATATTAATAGAAACCGGAAAGAATATTTTGCTTTCAACCTGAATCTATTGTCCAATGTTGATAATCTTAAATTTTAAAGCATTTATTGCATAAACATAAACTAATTTGTTAATCGTTAAATGCAGAAAATGTTTTAAATATTTACTAATGTTTTAAATATTGTTAGGAACTCTAACAATATTTAAAGCATAAGTTATTAGTCATTAGTGAAAATACAAAGATTCATACCTAACTGCTGAGCAGTAGCCTGTAAGTTGGGCTCTCCAACTGCAGGGAACCTCAAAAGCCACAAAACACTGTTTGGCACATGTTTCAGAATGTACACCCACATATGCAGCGTCAAAGGATCAATTTTGTACAGCTGATTGAAGTTACAGTATACTACAGCGTCATCGGGCAAGCCATATTGTTGGCGGGTTGTGATTACAATGGACTGGGGCACTTCCTCGCCAGTTGCTGCTTTGTTGTTAGTTTGTGTGGTGGCGAGGCCGTTTTGTAAAATAACTCCGTTTACTGATGTCTGAAAGTGACAATAGACTTTAGAATAAATCCTTTACTAAATCGTCACTAAATCTTTTAGGCGTTTCCCAATGCCGACCTTACTGCACTTTCGAGATAGGATGGGTGACAGATTTTTTTATGGCCATTTTTGTTGTACCAGGCCCAATATATCAACACGGGTGTTTAACTGTACTGCTTATGTAGCGATTATAGAAAACCACTACCATGAAACTGTTCAACTGACTTTGATAACAGTAACACAAAATGTTAAACACTGTATGATTTATTGTTGTACAAACAATGTATGATTTATTTTAATTACGTCCAAAAATGTGACAAAAAAATTAACGTGATTTTAAATCACGCATAATTTTATTATACCAAAAAAATCTTAATTAAAATTGCAAAATAATAGACTTTACTTTGAATACTTCTATAATGTACATACCTGAACTTGTCCTGAAGCGATCATAGTTTCAATGGGCGTCGTAGTAGGCAACTCGGCGACCTTCAATGAAATCTCAACCGGTCTGGCTGCTCTCACAACTTCCTTTATTTCTTTAATGTCAGTATTCTCAACTAAAGGTGATAGATCTGTTGCGTTTATAACGGCCACGTTATCAGGCAATATACCGAGATTATTATGCGACTTTACCTTATCGCTAAGAATCAATCTCTCTTGCAGATGTGGAAACATTTGCTTATGGTCGCCAACGAAATACGTGTGAGGCATGTATGCCAATTTTTCACTATACTGATTGGCTAATTCCAAGGGGGAAGTTACAGCATCAGTTATGAGATAGTCCATGTAACTTGCTCCACTTGTTCCTGGATAACCGAGCCACATAACTTGGACTGGAGCGGGCCTCAAAGCGAATATTTCATTACGCGCTCCTTTAGTATAACCATTCATATTGACCAAGATGTGAATTCCGTCTGCGTAAATTTTATCAGCGGCTTTACCATTGCATGGCATCTGAGACAGATCGATAAAATGCTCCGCTTCGCGAGCAATCTTAGAACGGAATGTTGTGCCATCATCAGGACTTAAAGCATAGCAGAAGATTTCTACTTTGCCACGATCATGCAAACCAGGCACAGACTGCATCAAATGTGAAGTAGGATGATTACCGAAATCGCTACTTACGTAGCCGACACGCAAACGACCTTGCAATTCGCGACCGAATTTGTATTGGGCTTTATGGAGGACCTGAACTTTTTCAAGACATAAATTAGCGTGACGAGCTGCGATTGCCTTTCTGAATTCGTGTGTCAATGGATACAACATAGAATGATGCGGATGGACTGAAGGTAGTCTGTTCTTATCTAGCTGTTCCGCGACAATGCTGACGAGTTTCTTCATGCGTGCTTCGTAGTCAGTCCAGTCGCATACAATTTGTAAACAGTGTGCCAAATTACAGTATGCATCAGGAAAATCTGGCTTCAATTTCAATGCAGTTCTATAAGATTGTATGGCTTCTGGAATATTTCCAGAGTCTTTGTGAATGCTGGCAAGATTGCTGTGTGCATCAGCGAATGCTGGATTGATTTGAATGGCTCTAGTGTAACATTGTAAAGCTCCGGCCACATCTTGCATTTCTTTTAGAGTGTTGCCCATGTTACTATATGCATCGGCAAAGGTTGGCTGAATCCTAATCGCTTCCTTATAATGCATGAGTGCTTCATTTAGCTTGCCCTGTTGCTGTAATACTGAAGCCAAGTTGCTATGAGCGGCAGCGAATTCCGGGAACACTTCCAATGCCTTTAAATATAGCCGAGTCGCTTCTTCTATATATCCTTGCTCGCGTTTAATGTTCGCCAAGTTATTAAGTGAATCGGCATGAGAAGGACAAAGACGTAAGGCTGTGTTATAGCATTCCTCGGCATCAGCAACTTGTCCCTTTTCTTTTAATGCGTTGGCCAAGTTGCAGTAGGCATCTGGGAAATTAGGCTGCAATTCTATCGCTCTCCTATATGTATCGATAGCTAAATCAATCAGCCCTTGTTCGTAATATACGCATGCCAAATTTCCGTGTACGACCGCGTTATTTGGTGAAAGATTGAGAGCACGTAAGTAAGCTGCAACAGCCCTAATAAAAAAGAATAAGGTATCAATAAAATGTTAAGTAAATTTCGGGACTATTTATTTAATATTTGAAATATTAATCTTACCTGTCGAAAATTCTAGCTTCCTTGAGAACATTGCCAAGATTGATGTAAGCGTCCAAAAAATTCGGATCCAATGCCACAGCTTTTTCAAAATGATGAATTGCCAACCAAATTTCGCTTTGGGCATTAAAAACGCATCCCAAATTACTCCAAGCTACTGCAAAGTCAGGCCTCGTTTCGATGGCCTTCAAGTAACAAGCCTACACACACGGAAAAATTGCATGTTATTATCGAACAAAGATTCCTATTTTCACATTTATGAATTAGATGGAATGAGTATTTTACGCAAAAGAATAAAGTTACACCAAGGCAATGAATGGCGCTCGGAAGCCGAATATCAAACATAGGCGCAACCGAGCACCAAACAGTATTTGCTTTTGATATTACGCCAAATGCACCCTACTAAACGCTACGCCGAGAGCAACAAAACATCAGTAGGAAATGTAAACGACAAGCCTTATAAGTAATGCTGGTTGGTACATAATAAATTGTATTCATAACACAAAAAACATTTTTAAATAAACACGTAATAAAATCCAGACATAGACGCTTCCACTTCCTAACCGATGGAGAGGATGGCCACGACAATGAGAGAACAAAATGCACGAGATGTATCCGATATCCTGTCCAAAACAATTTCTTGCAAACCTTTAACACTTTACCTTGATGGCACAGTATGTTGTCATCGCGGCGGGATAGCGACTGATGTACCAACCGTTACCCAGCTACATACAGCACCGGTCACACCTACTGTCTTACCAGACAACACCTTGTGAAAATATAACAAAATTAGTTGATTTTGAGTCAAACTATTTCACCTGAATTTCGTGTTACTCGTATTTATATTGAAAATCAAATGTATATGAATCGAGAGGATCATTGTCAAACTCAAGCTGTCATCGAGCAGAGTGTTACGACAGGCATGATGTAGATGATAAAATCATATTACACATTTACAAAATAAACTAAGTCATATCACTAAAGAAATATACTACTGATTCCTCTGATCCTCCTTTGCAAGTTTAACAAGAATCACTACAAGCACAAGAATAAAAATAAACTATGTGAATAATTGAAGGAAACAGGACATTGTAATAAAAAAAATAAAAATGCTCATATTTATTCACTATTATTAGCATACTCTCTCTTAAGACTTCAAATCTTCCACACAACATTCTAAGTATCTAAAACACTTTCTTTCAAGCAAAAATTATGTGACATTTAATCAGTGGTTGTAAAATTTATAATAGTAAATGTTATGTGAAAAATCAGGATGGATAATTACGCATAACGCCGTCACAAAATATTAAAAAAGAATATAGGAAATCAACAATTTAATATTTTGTGACTGTGTCACTCTCTAACATGGAACAAATTGGTAAACAAAAATCCATTATGTAATTGCCATGCGTCATTCACCAATTTGTTCTCACAGAGATAATAATGGTTTAAACAAACGCGCTTCGAACGTACCTACAATTTACTTTTTGCAAAAATATTAAGTAATAAAAGAATGATGTTGAAACCATTATAATGGAACGCATTGCTATAACAAAGATAAAAAAATTACGCTTTAGCTGTACGCTGACGAAACAGAGAGTACGCTAATGTAATCTCACACAAAGAAAGAACAGTCCTAGAGTCCTGTTAACTTCAGGGCAAACCAGAAAGCATGAAACAAAATTTTATTTACCTTTGCCTCGTCGAGACGACCAAGGGCTTTGAGCAAATTGCCCAAGTCACTTCTAACGCAGTAAAGTTCCTACGACAAAAAGAAATTACATTGTAAGTATAAAAACAATTGCCAACTTTATTGTTCGTCATCATCATTACAGCCTATGGCTGGCCATACGCCTCCACATAGATTGCATAATAGGGGTATATTTGTCATAATAGCCAGACTTGGCAGCTGGGTTAGCATCCACAATTTTATTATTTTTGGTTGTTATCTCCTGCTGTCTATCTCCTGAGTTACCCTCTGTAACCTTGTACGTCACCCATGGGACGATATGGGGGTAATGGATATTCTTACACCGCCACCACACGATAAACTTTACTGTTGTTACCTATTTAAAAAATGAAAAATATAAAACATTTTATGTAAAAAGAAAGGGTAAATATTGTCCAAGAAGAAGCATTCTACGTGGTAGAGCCATGCTGCTGCTATATTATGGTTGTAGCACGAATGGGTCGCCTCGACCGGGGAAGGACCACGCTCTCACAGAAAACCAGCGTAAAATAGCAGCTTAACGCTGCTGTGTTTCGTATGGTGAGTGTAGAGAACCGGAGACTCTTTTTACTGGCAAAGAGGCATTCCATCTTAGTCCTCACGGGTGACAACGCATCTGCATCTTGAGTCTTTATTGAGGATAGATGTAGATGTCTATGGGTCACATAAACCACTTACCATCAGGTGGACTGTGTGCTTGTTTGTCACCCTATCCTATAAAAAAAACCATATGAGAGCTAACATTAGCGCACGTAGTTCGCAATGCCATTATTGCAAACTAGAGGGTTAAATTTAACGTAAGTTGTAGGTGAATCATGAATGATAATTATTAAAAAAAAACCTAGAGTATTAGGAATTTAATGAGAGGTATAAAAATAGGTGTCTTGTGAATGAGTGCCTACTTAAATCTTAAAAATATACATAAAACATTTTGAACACGTAATTAGAATTTAGTCGTCCCTGTATAAATTGTGTCTTAGGTCCGCCACACACATACGGAATCCCGTTTTGCCTGCAAAATTTCGAACGGAAAACTACCGTACGTGTGTGACGGGTCATTATATCGACGGGATTTTATATGGCCTTAGGCCGGTCACATACATACAGAATTCCGTTTCGGGATTCAATTTCGATATTCCGATTCGGAATTCCGAACGCAGCAAGTCCATATAAAATCTATGACCCGCCACACACGTACGGTAATTCTCCGTACGGAATTTTCTCCGACTCGAGATTCCGTATGACCGCCTGTACGTTCGGAATCCCGAACGGAAAAAACCCGCTCCGAACGCAAGTCTTGTTTTGTTCATTCGTCGAAAGGGTTTACAGACATCCATGTTTAAAAAAATATCTCTGGATAGATAGACCTTTTTACATAATATTGACTATATTGCAAGGTCCCAGTAAAAATGATACAGCAACAATGGAATCGCAATCACAAAATCGTTGTCATTATTCGCTGGCAGAGTGTCTAGACTCAATGGCTAACGTCTCTCAACTGACCCTTGTGATTCCGAACGGAAATAAACGTATGTGTATGATGCATTCGCGGAATCCCGAATCGGAATCACGAAACGTAATTCTGTATGTATGTGGCCGGCCATAGGCCCAAATAGTTAAAACTCTACTCAGTTTTAATATGCCGTTAAGTCTCGTGCTGTCTCTGTAACTTTAAGACAAAGTTGACTGTGACACCTAAAGTCTTAACGATATCTTAAAATTGAGTAGCGTTTGAGTATTTGGTCATTAGTAATATAAAAAAGTAAATGAAGAAACAGCAATAAAGTTCAAATAGAAAACTTAACAGTGGTAAAGAGGAACATGCAAACATTTTCTTCATTCCAACATCACAATTACGTTGAGCGTGATAATGGTGAGAGCGTGTTAATGGAGAGCAGCAGTAAGGTGTCAGCTTTGCGTTCAATAGTCCTCCACTATGAGCAATAATCACAGTAATGCATGGCGGCTGGTACATTAATGGAAAGGCGTAATAAGTCCAGCAGTAGTGTTGTTGATGATAATAAGAAAATAAAACTAACAGATATCCACAGTAACCGACATAGCCCAATAGTATAGTTCAGTAAGCTTAAATGGCAACGGACCGGCCACATAGCTCGAAGAACCTACAACCGATGGGATAGAAAGATGGCAGAAGTACGGTAGCCCCCACTAAATGGAGTGACCACGTGTTTTGTACCATTTCTTGGGCGAGGACTATGTTCAACAAACTTGTGACGGGCTGTATTGACGATGAAGCGTTATTATTATCAAGCAGATATTCTTGCATCCTTGGTATTGGGGGCGTGGCTTAGCCCATTGTCGTGAAGCTCATGGACTACTCAGGGAGTGTCAAAATTAATGTGATGCAACTATTTCATGTACGCAAATTATGAGATAGCTATACAGAGCACGTATAAAATAAACTACGTAAGCGCCAAACATTTTTATTTTTTAACAAAACTTCGTTATGGATTAAAAAATGGTTTATACAAACTTAGATATGATTATTTACTTTGTTTTAAAAATAATTCCATAGAATTATTCGTAAAAATATTGTAGTGGCATAGAGAAATGTAACTAATTAGAGCCTAATTTACAATTCTTTTTCTATCGAGAAAATTACATGTTATCATGTATCTCTTTTATGAAATCGAAGGTCACATAGTCAAGAATCAAAAATTGGTTCGTAATCTATAAAACTGAAAGATATAATATGTGAAATAGAAAAATCACCAATTTTTAAATCCTTAACGTCTTAAAATTGAGTAGCGATTGAATATTTGGCCAATAGTGTATCAAATAATTAATATTTTTGACCTATTTGAGTGGACTAAGCATAAAGTTTTTATAAGCAAGTATAAATACTCTAAGGGACTAAGCAATATGGGAAACTCAAGGTAACATTAAATGTCGTCTATATAGTTACATTAAAAAATCATCTAATTTTTCATTTAAGTTTAAATGGGACCACAGGCCTGTTGGTTTTAAAAAAAAGAATAAAATCGGTTCACCATTGGCGAAGATATCACGTAACATGCATACAAAAAAACCCTGTTTACTGGAAACGAGGCATTCTATCTTAGTCAGTCAGGGGTTGTCATCCCTGAGGACTGCATTTTAATTCTCAATCGTGGATAAGTGTAGACTTCTATGGGCCACAGCATCCACTTACTATCAGGTGGACTGTGTGGGCGTTTGTCACCCTTATTCTATAAAAAATATACAATCAAATTGAGTACTTCTGCCTTTTCTGAAGTCGGTTGAATATACAAGTAACAACAAGCGAAATTGAATAAAACTACTTTTACGGATTCTATCGCATTTAACTAACTTGTTTTTTTATTGACTGAAGTTAATTAAATAAGAATAGTAAATAATAAGAAATCATTATGTAAACAAGCAAAATCTTGCTTTTAATATAATTTCTAACAATGCAAATATTAAAAAGCATTTGTTTGAAAACGTTATTCATCGGTTTAAATCAAAGGAGCATAACATTCGAAGCCCCTTTATTAAAATCATTGAAGTGTATATCTCTGAGGAGATCAAGTCTTAATGAATATACGCATGTATAGACATCAAGAGCGATGGATGACACAAGCAAGACAATAGGTAATTGCTGTACGAGGAAATTAATTCCACGAGCAAAGGACGCTCAAGGTTGTGCATGTTATCTTACGGTATAAAATAAAGATTACTTATTTTTACCGTAACCTTTAATGGCACAATTGTGATTAAGTGACAAATTTGTGATATCACATTAAATGGAATTTTATAAACAGCGAATTAATTATACAAGATTATTTTTCAAATAGTATTAAAATATTACGTGGTAGAGCCACTCTGCAGCCATATTACGGTTGTAGCACGAATGGGTCAGCTAGACCGGGGTAGGACCACGCTCTCATAGAATACCAGCGTATTTTACGCAGCACAGCTTAATGCTGCTGTTTCTTATGGTGAGTGTAGAGAACCGGAAACCCTTTTTACTCGAAACGAGGCATTCCACCTTAGTCCTAAGGTGTTGCATTTTGATTCTTAATTGAGGATATATTTAATGTCTATGGGCCACAGTATCCACTCGCCATCAAGGTGGACTGTGTGCTCGTTTGTCACCTTATGCTATAAAAAAAGTTTTGATACTTATATAAATAATGATAAGCCGATAGTTCAGTACCTATTTGAAAATACGATTAAATAAGGCTTCTACTTTTATTGAAACTAGCTGTTCCCCGCAACTTCGCCCGAGCGTAACTTATTACGGTTGGATTTCATGGGTTTTAAGTTTTTTTACGCGGACGGTTTTTTTTTACTCCTTATAACGTCAGCCAGTGAGTCTCGTCAAAATCGGACTTGCCATTTCCGAGATTAGCCGGAACAAACAGACGGACATATAGAGACAGACAAAAATTTAGAAAATTGTTATAAGTACCGTGTATACCTACTTTCATATGCATTTAGTAAATAGCTGTTATTTTGACATTACAAACAGACACTTAAATATTATTTATTTGTATATATTATCCCAAATAGAATGTGATTTATGGGCAACAACGAGGCTTACGCGCGCTCCTCTGTGTGCGATTCAATTCACGTTTTGCCGACCGAGCGACCCTTACGAATGTGTGCGTGCCAGGGATTGAAAACGGTTCCAAAATACCGGAATAGAACCGGTATTTAGGGATTTCGCTGCCTATACCGGAACAGGAACCAGAACCTAAATTGGAACCTTTAAGAACCTTTATTTTACCGGTTCCTAAGCAAACTTGTTTGAAATGCGGTCGAGTGACGGGGCGATTCGGCGCGCGGCGGAGTGTGAGGAGAGAGGAGTTTGTAAAACATCACATTTGTATTGTGGATCTTCTATTGCATATCAAAGCAGCGTTGCCAACTCTACGGATTTTTCCGTAGATCTACGGTTTGTCGTCATCTACGGAAAACCAGCTTAACACTGCTGTGTTTCGTATGGTGAGTGTAGAGAACCGGAGACCCTTTTTACTGTAAAGGAGGCATTCCATCTTAGTCCTCACGGGTGACAACGCATCTGCGTTTTGATTCGCAAACGAGGATAAATGTAGATGTCTATTGGCCACAGCAATCACTTACCATCAGGTGGACTGTGTGTTCGTTTGTCACCCTATCCTATAAAAAAAACTACGGAATTTGAGGTTGCAATCTACGGAATTTTTATAAACTTAACAAGATTTTTTTTTATCATGAGTGTGAACTTGACGACAATGTCATTCTCTCTCTTCTATGTTGTCTGTACTAAATTATATTTATTAATTAATTCTATGCTATATCACTACAGCCCTTGTGAAGTACACTGCTGATGCTGAACATAGGCAACACCCAAGACATGCAACAAAACATGGCTCTGTGGTATCTGCCTCCATTGACTTCCTGCAGATCTTACCAGGTCGTAAATTCATCTAACGAGGCTGCCATTTGAGAACCCTATCAGTTGTCTATATATACCAGTTGAAAGGGACACACCTCTTAAAAGGGAACACGATTGCGTTCAACAGCGAATTCCTTAATCTCCTATGACACCTACGTTGGGTTCGGGGACAACGAGGCGTGTCCCCCGAACCCCGTGAATCCCGTGAAGGAGTATCACACGAGTGTCTGCAGCTTTCCTTTCTTCAAATAAGTTCAGGCGAGGATTACAGGTCTTCCGAGGTCATCCCGGTCCCAGCACCTTAATTCTTTAATATGTGCTGCATTAGCGACACCAGATGGACTGTATTTATATTTAAAGGTGAAGGATCCCTTGGGAATAAAACAGCAATTATCTTCATACCGCTCCGTGAGAGAGTAATTACTTTCCCTATCACTTCCCTATATGTTTTCTTTCTTGATTATATATTATACTGGTATATAGCTTACTAATATATGCTAGTAAAGTCTAACAATTTGTTTTAAAATCATAAATAAGGCAGAAATTAATAAGTCAATATTGCCTAACTCCACAAACAAAAAAGACTAATATCATTTTTTTTAACCATATTAAATTATTTGAATCCTGGCAGTGGTAGATTTTAACATTCATAAGAGCTTAAAATAAGCATAAACTAAAATAAAAAAATTAAACCTAGATCTCACAGTAAATGTTGTGCTATTCTGTTTAATTATTGGTTTTATTAAATACTGAATGTTTAATAATACCAATCACTTAACTTTTTAACATATGATAAAGAAATTAAAAGAATGAAGATATGATAAAGCCATGATTGTTGTAGGTTACATAAAAATGCCACCGAATTCCTTTAATGTCCTCCAAGTTGAATTTCGGTCATGGCGGCCAGCCTAAACGGAAACTAGCCATTGGCGCAGGACGGGATTATAGTGCCAAGTGTATGTGCAAGCACAGGTATATTCTCTACTCCCTCACTGACATAGTCTGATGGGACAGTAAACCGACACAACCAGGGAGAGATCAAGAGTAGGATGAGCGATGGGGTCTCACGGGGGTGAGACACTGCTAACTTCCTGAGAATTTCTTGATGGAAAAGCTCAATAACTGATATTTTTTGGCCTGACCCGGGATTCGAAATGTGGACCTCATGATCAGCAGTCACACTACAACCACTAGACCAACAAGGCAGTCAAAAGTCCTTTATTTAAGTATTCTCCATACTTTTAAAAATATGCTGAATACCATTCTTTGTTATATTTAAATAGACAAATGAAATGTAATAAACATTTATATTCCATCATGTTATGTTCGGTTTTACTAGTCCACACTTTGTTAGAACAATGGCCACTTACCATTGTTCTTTTTACTTTCTTTAAGAACTTTGTAAGAATGAAAACCACAAGGTAACAACTCATTTCTTATTTTTTCACCTTTATGGATGCAATTTTTTCTTAAAATTTATGAGACTACCTCTGGAGTATGACTTTATTTATAAAAAAATAAGACTTAGTAAAAGAAAATCATTAATTATCATTAGTTCATGAACAAAGTTTTGCCAAAACATACATAATTAAAAATATTACACAGATAAATTAAGAACTTACTTCTTTTTTAAACTCACTTAGGAAACCAAATATTAATGTTTGTAATCACAACACTGGAGCTATCTTTATATCAAAACTTTATTTTATTATTTTGATAAAGACTAGTGCAGGAAAATTATTCTTATCCATCCTTCCTTTTATACTTTACAGTCTAGTATTACTTACTGCTGAACATAGGCCTCCCCCATAGATTACCTCATAGGGGCAATTTTGCCATAGTTGCCACAATTGTCAGCTGGTTGGCCACTGCAGCATTATTTTAAGTTGTTATCAGGAAGATTCTGCTGACCATACCTCTTTTCAGTTTCCCTCTGTCCCCTCTTACAACACCCACAGGATGATAGATAGTAGTGGATATTCTTACACCGCCACTATATGGTAAAGTATTTGTTATATACAAAGAATATCTAATTCATGAATTAAAAAATCATTAATATCACTATCAGAAGTATATACTCACAGGATTATATTGTAGAGCTGTAACATATGCTTGTACTGCTTGCTCCATATCGCCAGCAGCCACAAGGGCTGCAGCCAAGTTGATGTAACCATCGATGAAGTCAGGCTTTAGTCTCACTGCATGCCTGTAGTTCTCTAATGCTTCTTGCAACTGCCCACGTTCCTTGTATACATTACCCAAATTGCTACAAAAATACGTAATATTAAGTAATATTACTTTAATTTTATAGACACAATCTTTAACAGATAACTTTATGTTCTGTACAATTGTATGTATGAAATGAAATATAAAGCAACTTTATATATTTAACACAACAAAAATATTTTGTTTACAGTCCCATTTTCGGTGTTGATGAGGATTACTTAATACACCAAGATAACATTAAAATAATTATATCCTTATATGTAACTCAGGGGCTGTGTGCTTATTTAGATTTTGATTTGATAATATGAAAGCAACTCGTTTAACATCTTCTCTGACAACACTAAAATGTTTAAACATAAAATAGTGTTTACATACCTCAGGCTCAGTGGTGATTTAATTATTTATTTTAAATTAAATATTTTAAGGAAATAAGATATCCACTAATATGCATTGGAGCAACTTGGCATTCCATAACCCTCAGAAACAAAAGGCCTGTGTCCAGCAATGGGATTTAGAAAATTAACTTTACTTCTATAAATAACATATGCAGTTGTAGAAACTGCATATGAAAATGTGTACATTTTGTCCACTTCTCAATACTTAAAATTAATTTGCAAAACATGTTCAAATTTCAGGGTGATATTATTTAAATAATAATAATGTAAAAACAGTTCCTACCTGTATGCCTCAGCCAACAAAGGATTTTGTTTAATAGCCAATGTTGAAAAATGCGCAGACTTGTCCAATCGCCGACATTGGAAGTGAATTGATGATAAGAGAAGCAAGACACCAGTGTTGGTGCCATCTTGACGCCATAGTTGCATACAATGCAATTCAGCACTGTCATAGTCTCCAGCTTGGTACTCTCGGTGCGCTAACTCTAATAGCCCTAATAAAACGCAATACTTTTAAATGTGTCTCATAATAATATTATAAACATAATTCCACCACACTAAACCATTCAAAATTGGCTAAATAATTTGCTTGCCGAGGATTAACAAGAAATTCGTAATAACATAAAGACGAATTGAGTTATTACATACCAACTGTAGATATTTGTGGTCCTATGTCCGACATTTTAAGTATCACAGCATTTGCTGGAACACCAACAATTTGTTGAGGCTGCGTCGTAACAGACTGTGGCACTGCTACATTAGCTTGAGGTTGCATTTTGGTTATCATATTTTGTGCACACTTTAATCGTCACCAGGCACAACAAATTAACTAAATATACAAAATTCATCAAAACAAAAAATTAATTTATTAGTACTTTTCCATTGCAATATACTAAAAATATGAACAAGATCAAGAAACTTTCCAAGGAACCCGAGACCCGTTTCGATTCAGCACACAAAGCGGAAATTTTCTATTTGTATTGTTAATGTTACCTACTCTACGGCGGAAATAAGTAGTGTAGTGCTGATATAAATTGTCTGTGGTTCAACTCATTTCCGTCCTCATTGCACAAATATTATTGTTAAGATATTGAAAATCAAGAATTATTATATATTAATTAAGCAATATTTCAAAATAATTAGTAAAAAATATGACAAAAATAATGCTTCAACATTTAGCAATTATAAGAAGAAATAATAAAAACATGCACTTCCGCTTCCTTTAAACAATGGAATATAAAGCTGAGAACAAATTATCGGACGCGTCCGTCAGCCGCGGCTGAAAGACGCGGCTTATTTGAATCTAGCCAGTACATTTAATACTACACTGTGCAAACTATCGGTCGTAAGACGTGGACGTGCCCTTGGGTCGTCCTTGAGCGTTCAGACGTCCGAACAGAATCTAGCCGGCTGGATATTTGTGCGTCCTCGGACGGTGTGCACAGGCCACGGGACGCGTCCGCGGACGTTTCGAGCGTCACAAACGAACCGACCGTGCTCGCGACATGTCAGACGAAGAAAATTTAATTGAATGTGTTCGTGGCCACATAAATGCTACTTTAAAACAGGAAGTGTGGGAGCAAATTGCTGCTGAATTAAACATCATTTTCAAGCAGAAAATGAAATTGGTTTTCATTAATTCTTAAGTACATTTTGTAACGTTTATCATCTTTTTGTAAGTCTGGATATAATGTATGAAATTCATCATACTCGAGTCGTTTTACATTAATATCATGGACCCAAACACTCCTTTTCACTTTTTTTTTTTTGGAATACAACATAAGGCAGCTGCTGCTAGCTCTATAAATTCATCCTCGCTGTCGCTGCTTGTCGTGTTTCTCGATTGAAACACCTTTATAGAATGACTGAAGTGAGGCGTCCGAAGACGCCGTCTTAACTACCGTGCACACCGCTAAAGCTGAGAACAAATTATCGGACGCGTCCGTCAGCCGCGGCTGATAGACGCGGCTTATTTGAATCTAGCCAGTACATTTAATACTACACTGTGCAAACTATCGGTCGTAAGACGCGGACGTGCCCTTGGGTCGTCCTTGAGCGTTCAGACGTCCGAACAGAATCTAGCCGGCTGGATATTTGTGCGTCCTCGGACGATGTGCACAGGCCACGGGACGCGTCCGCGGACGTTTCGAGCGTCACAAACGAATCGACCGCGCTCGCGACATGTCAGACGAAGAAAATTTAATTGAATGTGTTCGTGGCCACATAAATGCTACTTTAAAACAGGAAGTGTGGGAGCAAATTGCTGCTGAATTAAACATCATTTTCAGTCAGACTAAGCAGAAAATTAAATTGGTTTTCATTAATTCTTAAGTACATTTTGTAACGTTTATCATCTTTTTGTAAGTCTGGATACAATGTATGAAATTCACCATACTCGAGTCTTTTTACATTAATATCATGGACTCAAACACTCCTTTTCCCTTTTTTTTGGAGGTCAACATAAGGCAGCTGCCGTTAACTCTATAAATTCGTCCTCGCTGTAGCTGCTTGTCATGTTTCTCGATTGAAACTTCTTTATAGAATGACTGAAGTGAGGCGTCCGAAGACGCCGTCTTAACTACCGTGCACACCGCTAAGCCGCGACTGTCAGCCGCGGCTGACGGACGCGTCCGATAATTTGTTCTCAGCTTAAGCCGCGACTGTCAGCCGCGGCTGACGGACGCGTCCGATAATTTGTTCTCAGCTTTATAGATATGGATATAATAACCTTTCTAGCCATAAACTTAACCATCGACTTTGATACCTCCCCCCCCCTACACTGCAATTGAATTAGGAGTATATAATATATAAAAAAAATACTGGCAGATGTATTTAAACAGCACATCTCAAAATTATTAATATTTAAACTGCACCCATGTAGTTTAGAAATAACAAATAGTTAAAGATCGTTCACCTTATAACGTCGATATTACTTCAAATAATTAGAATTGGGTACTTTTTACAGTATGAAAACTGCGCATTACTTAAATATAATTGCACCATCGTTAAAATGTATTAAATGTAATGAAAAGTTCAAAAACTAACAAAAACCAAATTTGTTAAATGTCTGTTGGTTGCATTCAACACTTAACAATTTATCAATTTTTTGTATTTATCATTACATTTTATGCATTTTTAACCATGGTGCAATTATACTCCAGCAAAGTGCAGTTTTTTTATGCTGTGAAAAGTTCCCAATTCCAATTATTTGAAGTAATATTGACATTACAAGGTGAATGATCTTTAACTATTTTTAGATTACATGATTAATGCCTGACAGAATATTTATAAGGAAGCTATAGAGGACGCGTTAGCAAGAATGAATACTAAGCACGAAAGAGAGTAATAAAATAAGAACAAAATTCTTATAGCTTTTTTTTATAGGAGAGGGGGAAACGAGCATGCGGCTCACCTGATAGTAATTGACTACCGCCGCCGGTTAACAATTGCAACACCAGGGGAATTGCAGATGCGTTGCCGGCCTTTTAAAAAGGAATAGGCTCTTTTCTTGAAGGTCCCTAAGTCATATTGGTCCGGAAAAATCGCTGATGGTAATCGATTCTACAAGAAAGTTGAGCGAGGAAGAAAACATCTTCTAAATCACACAGTGGTGGACCCCCAATCATCCAGATGGTGTGGAAGGTATTGGGAGTTCTGCCGCGATGTGCGTTCGTCAAATATGGCGGCTGGGATTAATCCGAACAATTCCTCAGAGCACTCCGCGTGGTAAATGCGAAAGAAAATGCAAAGGGGGTCATTTTAGAAGCGTGCTCGCCGCGACCCCTGCCAGCTCTTTTCAGGGCTGCAATTCTACACAGCTGCACACCCATGCCAACGAGGGTTAGGGCGTCCCCCCAAGGCGACGCACACCAGCTCGTCCCCGTTGGTGTGGAATGCAGCGCGCAAAGCGGCGATGGGGACCGCCACCCGTCACGCACAGCCCGACACGGCGGAAGGTGGAGGACAGAGTGCAGAGTTGGCACGTGGAATGTTAGAGGAGGCATGAGAGATGAGACGAATGAGCTGATCGAAATAATGAAAGAAAGAGAATTAGATGTCGTGTATACACACGACATCTAATTCTCTTTCTTTCCGACATACGTCGGAGACCAAACGGAAGAGCAGTGGTACTAAAGAGCTCCCTGGCGGGGCGTTAGCTCTATGGTCAGGAGTCCCGGAGAGCGAGAACGCCTGCCAGTGAGGGTGCTGCTGTCTTCTCGGTTGGTCGATGTTATGACTGAATATAAGGTTGTGAACTCAAGACTTTTCTGGGTTCGCTTTAAATTGGGAATAACGAAGTTATTCCTTTTGGCTGTTTATGCGCCGGTAGCTTCGTCGTCTAGGGCTGAGCTGGAGGAGTTTTGGGAGAATGTAAGGGAAGTTCTAGATTTGGCTAGGGGAAACGAAAGAATTGTTGTATGTAGTGATTTGAATGGATGGGTTGGTACCGCTCGACCAGGGTACGAGTCGGTACTTGGAAAGTTTGGCGATAAAAGGGTTAATGATGCTGGCAAGCTTATACTGTATGCAAGGAAAAGGGTCTTCTTGTGACAAACATTATGTTTAATCACAAGAAAATCCATATGTATACTAGAGAAAGAAAGAGTGAGAGAAGTATGATCGATTTGTTCCTGGTGGATGACCGACTGTGAAAACAGGTGATGGATACGCGAGTGTTCAGGGGTGCTGACCTGGGAACGGATCACTATGTAGTGATTACTAGATTTAGGGGTCTGTTCGCGGGTTGGCGCTACCGGACGGCAGTAACAGAACCACAGTCGGTCTGTCGCATCCGAAGCTGGAAGCTTCAGGAAGCGGATACTAGGGACAAATATCATGCGAGGGTAGCCGAAAAGCTTGACACCATTGATGGCAGAAAAGAATGTGTGGAAAGAACATGGCAGAACCTTAGGGATGGAATGGTAAGTGCAGCAGAAGAAGTGTGTGGAACAATAAAAAGAGGCAGTAGTAAAAGAAGAGATGCATGGTGGAATGATGAAGTGAAAGAAGCTGTAAAGAAGAAGAAGAAAGCATGGTTAGACTACTTGGCCTCTAGTAATGATAAGGATATGAGAGAGAAGATGAAAGAAAGATATAAGCTGCAGAAAGTTCACACGAAAGCATTGATTGAGGAAGTGCGTGAAAGGTGTAGAATGAAAGCGGACGAAAGGTTGTCGCACAACTTCAAGGAGAACTCCAAACTCTTCTGGAAAGAGGTTGGAAGGACCCGAAGTGGTGTGACGGCCTTAAGAATGAACAAAGTGCTTTCGAGAACTAATGACGTCCTCTCAGAAAAATTGGACGTCATGCAGCGATGGAGTGAATTTTATAGAGAAATGTACGCGTGTGATGATCTTAGTGAGGGATCCGGGGATGACGCCGTGACTGGTACGCCAGACCCGGACCTCAATGACACTGAGGTCATGAGTATAAAAGAGATTGAACGTGCGATTCGAAGTTTGAAATGTGGTAAGGCTGCGGGACTAGACAGAGTTACTGCTGAAATGGTCAAGTATGGTGGGTTTCACGTCTGGGATAGCTTTCATCTGATGTGCAATTTGTGCTGGCGAACGGGGGATGTCCCGGATGATTGGCGATCCGTAGTCATTGTGCTTTTATATGAAGGTAAAGGTTCACATTTTGACTGCGGGTGCTATCGGGCGATCAGCTTGACCAGTTTAGCAAGTAAAGTTTACTCGAAAGTTTTGACACGTAAGATGCAAGAGAAATCGGAAAGATTTCTATGGGAGGCACAATGCGGATTTAGACCTGGAAGAGGATGCACGG